GTAAAAGTGATAGGCCTAATGTTTGATACTAACAATGGAAAAGGGAATAAGAAAAAATAAGTTTATTTCATCAAAGCGAAATTCTAAAGTAATTGAATCCACCTGAGTGCACTTTGACGAAAGGAACATAGGATCTTAGGAAGAAAGAAGACCACAATCATAAGTGAATCACACCAGACTTAACATTGCGATAGTATTAGAGAAAATATTTCGGCTTGTCAACTGAGATTCTAAAGTAATTGAACAGGTTTAAGTGGACTTTTGACAAGAAGAGGAAAACTGTACATATACTGATATAATGTTTACAATATGCTTAAATTCTCTGTGGTGTGAACACTTTATTGTACATACATTTAACTTGTTTCAAATATTATATGATTTGAAAACAAGTAATATTTGTGCTGTTTATATTCATCGTTTAATTTATTGATAACAAGTCAGACACCTACTGTAGAAGAATCATAAGCTCAACAACTACATAGTATATATTTGTATTATTAAGAAATATAAGTAAAAGCCATTTATTTCGACAATTGGCAAAAAAAAACATGTATATATTTTTTTTTAAATCTGACAATGAGGCATGCATGTGAGCAGTTCGTAGTAGCTTGTGGGTAATGTAAATCGATAACGTAACATGAGCTGCACATTCCCAGAGTGATTTACAACTTATAATGGTGCGATTAGTTGTTAGACACAGTTCAAAGGGCAGTAAAACAATAAAATTTAATTATAAATAGATGTATACTTATGAGCTCAAGCTACGTAGGATAAACAAATGTAGTTTCATGTTATAATTTGAAGTCCTTCTAGAAAGAAATAATGGGTAATTTAGATATATTTAGATTTTTTTATTTACATATCTTTTTTGGTGGTTACAAGGTAGGTCAAATTGACTGATCCTGTGTAGAGATAGGGTAGAGAAAATAACAGATAAAATATAAAGTTTTACTGGAAAAAAAACTTTGAAATGTATTTGGGAGGTTTTAGGAATTACACAAAGCAAATTTGAGATTTCTGAGATGAAGAAAAGTATTTTTAAACTTAACATGAAAATTTCTTTGCACATGAACTATTCAAAACAAATACTCAATATTTTCATGGATACATTTTTATTTTAGTTTATTAAAAATACTTCACTAAAAATATTTTTGTATGTGAAAGACGTGTAATGTTAATTGAAAGACTGACAAATTTTGTGAAGATATACATACTATATTGAAAGTTAGAAGTATTAAATCTATGAAGACTTTAAATGAGTACAAAAGAGGTCATGTGGTCAATAAAATTGACTAAGCTGTGTTGATAGAGTTAAGTAGGTAGAAGTAAAAGGACAGAACTAATAGTAACATAGTAAGGTTAGTTGGAATAGTACAATGGTAAAAACTATTACTAGAAATCATAAAAATGACAATAAAGTAAGTAAGAGATATATTTTGTATTAAATTGTTAAAGATTATGGAAATAAATTCCTTTACAATAATAAGAGAAAGTATAATTCAAATAAAAGTTTTAATCAAAAGAATAATGATAAAGGAATAGAAAAGAAAGTACATCACATTTAGAAAATCAATCTCCAAAAATGAGTCCCATATAACAATATTATTAATATCTTAACCAAAAAGTATTAATACTATTCATAATTCTGTACTAATTTAGATTAAAATGACTAAAAATGCCACCTAATTCTAATTGAAGTGAAGGATTAAGATCTAATTCTGGTTTCCCTAACTACACATAAAATATATAGAGTACACATATATATCTTTAAAGTAAATTTTAGATCTATATATTACTCAATTTGTTAATTCAAAAGTAAATATTTAAAAACACAGATAAACATCAATTTTTGTGTCACGTGGTATGTTGAATGCAGCACTGGTTCAAATTAGATGTTTGTGAAGTCAAAATACTAAGTCTATAGTTTCATACGAATTAGAAACTCAAATTACAGTTATTGATAAGCTAGAATATAAAATAAAAAGATCTTATCTTTTCTAATTGCTAAGATATTGCTCATTTAATAAATTAAACACAGCGACACACCACCCACCTCTTTCCATTTTTGGAAATGCTCCCTTATATAAACTTACTTCTATATATGATATAACTAACCATTCGGAAGCTCAGAATGTCCCCTAGTGGCTTTCTCAGCCATTTTAAATACTTAGGACTCCAGTTCTTTCTTTTGAACCAAGATTTCAAGGAGGTAGGATGTTTTTTTAGTCTGCATCATCATCATAGACAGCAGTACATCGATAATTCTACCAATGCTTAGCTGCCACACAATCATGAATTATTATTACAAGAAAATGGGGACAAAAGTGGGATCTAACACGCCATGAATACGGACCCCATCCAGGAAGGCTAACCCTGCCAACTGAAGCTAATCTACTTGTAAGCCCTTTCGTCTGACGGCTCCAGGTCAGTGCCAAAAATGAGTCTGCACAAAATTACCTTTTTTTTTTAGACTAAAATATGTCTTAGATACTAAGCTTGATAAATTATAGTGAAATTCTATGGTATAAATGTAGTAATTTATTATTTTTTAGTTATTCAAATGTATATATATAAAAAACTTAAAAAAATATTTTTTCATGTGCAAAATTTATAGGCTTAACATCCTACATCAAACAGCAATCAAGTACAAAGGTTGTAACTAGAACAGATGGTTGTTTGCTTTACTTCTTTATTTACTGTTCTATGTTTTAGGAAAAATAACTTTAAGAACTTATTTCAAAATAGCATTAATGTATATAAATATCCATATGAAATTGAAATGTGACTGTATTTACAAAATACTAGTCTACTAAAACACAGCCAAGACAAGTTACTTTTTACAGACCAAAGGTCAGTTTTATGTTATTGGATATGGTAACAAGGATGCATGTGAGCCACATCATTGTAACTTCTGTATTGTTAGCCAGGCATGATTGAAAGGACAATATAATAAAAATTATAAATGTATAATGTTATGATATTTAAGCTATTTCGTCTTATAATTTATGTTCATTCTAGAATGAAAAATGCATAATTTATGTTTATTTCCTAATTTTTATGGTGGTTGCAAGATCAGTCAAATTTACCAAATTCGTACAAAGATTAATTACTGAAAATAACAGATAAAATATTAAGTTTTTTTAAAGAAACATTTGATAACTATCTGGACATTATAAAGATTTCGCATGTGAAATTTCAAAATTTCCTGATATATAAAAGTATTTTTAATTTAAAATGAAAATTTCTTTGCATGATAGATAGGCAACATGTGAAAAGAAAAAAAGGTATGAGAAAAACATTGCTTTACAAACCTTAAGACTGATAATCTGATAAATTTCATAAACATTTGCTTACTAATTTAAAAGTTATAGCGTGAAAACTATAAGAAGCACAAAATAGTTAAGAGGTTGGTCCTAGGGAATGAGCCTGTGCTGAAAGAGTTAAATTAGGTTCTTGAAAATGATGGTTTGGTCCTGGAAAGTTTTTTTTCGTTGGGCTGTACAATCCATACTTTTTTTTGTCTTAGAATTTAAATATTTTTATTGTTGATTAGAAAGTTCCATCTTATATATATATTCATTCAGTTTCAACTTCATTGATATTCACTGGCATATAGATAATATATTTTGTGAATTGTAATAATTGACACTTCTGGTTATAAACAGTAAAAATCACCTTAAAATTTGACAAAGATTTATTGGTGACCTAGGGCCTAACTTTTCAAAATGATCAGGTCAGGTTAGGTAACAATATTCTTGGTTGAGATCAGTATATGTCTGATAATTATAGTTTCTTTTCCATAAATAATCTTTTCTTAATTGATATTTTTCAAAGAAAACATTTTACTTAACTTTCAAAAAATATAACTTAACACAAAAACATTTTCAGGAATGAAAAGAATGCTAAAGAAATTATAAAAAAATCCCAGATCTGTAGTTGTATCTAAGTCTTTTAAGCTTACCAATCAATTCCATTATTGTTCTCTGCAGGAGATCCATCTATATATATATTAAACTATAAATTACTTTTCACACTACCTTATTCACTGTACATGGACATAAATAGTTTATAATCTGCTGTATTCAGTTGTATTTAAACTTTGCATATTGTTATTTTGATTGTTGAGGTTTAGTTGTAGGTGTTCAGATCAGATTTTGTGAGATCATAAAAGGGTGTGAATGTAAGGCTGTAGTAATGAAAACAGTAAACAGAGAGAAAATCACATGTGAAACAAAACATGGAAAATTCTATTCTCAATGAATTAGAAAATACAAGCCTTTGCTTGGGGATGAGCAGAAAAATTCTAAAAAAAATTATAGGTATGTTATTTGTAGGTAAGAATCCTTAAAATTGTGTGGGAATGAATGTTTGAACATTTTAAAATTTGGCTATGAAAATTACTCTAAATACACGTTATGAGATATAAATTTTAAGTATTTTTGAGGTTAGAATAGTTGAAATAGAATTAGAATTATTATTTGTACATATATTTGAAATTTGATATGTAATTGTGTACTTGGCATCTAAAAAGGGTCCTGGTCTGAATATGTTTAAGCTGTTTTTTGCACTGTTATATGCCAAAATTTAGTTGCTTATAATAAATTTTACAATTTCATAAAAAGTGAATATAAAATGTTTAAGAATACATTAAGATTCATTAATGAAAATTAATGTGTTTGCTTTGTATTTTTAATTCTCACTTATTAAGTTGACTTTTTTTTTTAACTAGAAAGGAACATGAGAAGTGTGAGTTTGAATTACACGAGGTTTATGCCATAGATGTTGTCATCAGTACAGGAGAAGGAAAGGTAAAGTCTTTTTAGTAAAGTTATCATATAAATTAAGTGATTGTCATTTCAAAAATTCTATGAAATGTGTATATGCATATAATTAGGTTATTACATGACCATCAAATTGCAATTTAAAAAAAAACTTTTGAGATGTCTTAAAAGTATACTTTTACTTTTTTTCTGTATTAAACTTTTTTCTGTTTTTTTATTTTGAACAGAGCAGTGCTTTAGTGTTTTATGTATAAGTGGTTTGTTATTTGTTAATGCTTTAATATAATACAGGCTACATATATTATGCTGTCTTTTAATCAAGATTTTGTTTTGATGGGTGAGATCCCTCATTATAGTTTTCATGCTGTAACTTTTAAATTAGTAAGTGAATGTTAACGAAATTTGGCAGTTTATCAATAAACATTACATTGCTTTCATATGCAAAATATCTAATTTTTATTAAGTCTTAAGGTTTGTAAAGCAATGTTTCTCTCATGCCCTTTGTTTCTTTTCACATCTTGCCTGTCTATCCTGCAAAGAAATTTTCATCTTGACATTAAAAATACTTTTATGCATCAGAAAATTTTGAAATTTCACATACGAAATCTTTATAATGTCCAAATAGTTATCAAACATTTCTTAAGAAAAAACTTTCAATTTTATCTGTTATTTTCAGTAATCATTCTCTGTACGGATTTGGTAAATTTGACCAATCTCGCAACCACCTTAAGAAAATAAAGATATAGTACTTAAGGCCAAATTAAAAATTGCTTTTCAATTAAATTAAATTAGGCTATTTTTGAGTAATGGCAATGCTAGTAGCTGTTTTTTTATATGTTCCACAGAATTACAGCTAGGCTACTTTGTTTTCCCAAAGACACTTGTATAAATTTGGTGAAATGAATGGCAGTGCAAGCCAATTGGGAAGTTGGAATTTATTATTTTGTTTTTATTTGTTTGTTTGTCTCCCCCTGAAGTGGAAAGTACCAATATTTACATCTGCTTTTTCATTCAAAATATTGTACTAGGGTTACACTATGTTTCAATTTAGGGGGAGGTACTTTGTGAATTTCATAGTATGATAATAACTTTTACATGCATTGTGAAGCAGTGTTGTGTGTGTAATCAGGGTGTTGCTAGAGGCAACTCCCTGGTATAATATACGTATGTTGTGTTTTTATTGGTAGTACAGGCAAATTTTTAGGGATTACAGCAAACTTACCTTACAATGGATGTTGTTTTTGGTTGGTCCTATGCCTTCTGCATTTGTTCACATTTGAGGTGCCCAACACTTTCTACGTGTTTCTGAAGAGTTCTTTAATGGCATGTGGGGTTACAAGACCCCACAAACAACTAAGAATGCCTCTCTGAGAAACTCAGCCAATTTCTACAAAGGGCACAGAACATAACTCCCTCATCTGCATTGAACTCCAACCAAGGCCACTTATTCTTCTACAGATGGTTAAGTTTTCTCATTTTTGAGAAGTGCATATGAGAACTCTTGCCTATTTGAGACATCAAAGGTACTAGTGAAAATAAATCTGCATGGCTATTAACATCAGACCTATCTGTGTTAATTGAGTTAGCACTTTCAGTGATATTAGGTATTGGCCTAGGACAAGCACTGACTGGAGAAAGTTGCAATCTTTTTTCCCTTGGTTCAGTCTCATGATCAAAAAGTTCATTCACATTTTGGGGTTTTTCATCAGCCACTTTATGTCTGTTAAACCCAAAATGCTCCATTATTTGTTTCATTTTCTCACAAGCAGGCTTAGGTTACTGAATTATTATGAAGCTAAAACTTTAAAAGCAGCCCACATGTATTAACACTTGAGGCAGTGCAAGTGTTACAACATTCCTGATGAAATTTTTGTAAACTTGGCAAAGGGAATGGCCATTTTAGCCAATTGCAAGTTAGCATTTCACTTTGGTTTTTGTGAGATTATCTCTCCTCTTGAAACAATGAACTATTAATTTTACCACATTTCCCCACTGTGTTAGATATATACTATTTCTGTTTTGGGGGTGATTATTTTTCTTCATAGTAATGGGATTTCCCTTACCACCTGGCTGCAGTCTGTGTAATATTATACAGTATCATACAAATAATGTGAACAGTACTGCTTTGCGCATGCATTGTGTTATGATATGCTGGTAATGCAGGTTTGTGTGTTTGAAATGGCAAAAAGGTGCCTCTTATGTCTTCCAGAGCAAATTAGGACTTTTTGTGGTATCTGAATGATAAGTTCAATGGATCTTCATTTGTGTCAACATTTTATGCCACTGTATAGGACTACATATGTCAACTCCCAGGTATTCAAACTGGTACACTACCTAATGAATTTCTGTAGTACCAAGAATTATGGGGTGCACTGTTTTGGTACAGCTGCAGTTTTGTTTGGTCCACTAGCATACTGCAAAATTCCCACCCTGATTGGCTGATCAACTTCTATTGATTCCCTACCATGCTTAACTCTAGATGTTGTAAATTGACAATGATACCATTCTTCTCTCCAGTGTTGAACAAACTATCATTGATTGTTGCTGAACAGTTAAACTTGGATTAATGTGTAAAAAGCATACAACTCCAGCTTTGTTTATTCCACTGTTTGTGGTCCAATGCCTGTTTTAACATTTTGGTTACCTTTCCTCAGCAGCAGTTTTCAAGCAGCTACACCTCAATTGAGACCACTTCATGACATTTTGTATCTTAGTGTTCTCAAGGTAACATTCACACCTTCAAGGTTGTTGGCCAGATCTCCACTTGACTATCTACCTCTTACAAATGGATCATGTGATACCTAGCATAAGTTTTGGATAGTTTGGGTTTTCTACCTCAACCACTTTTATTATTAATGTGTCAGTTTCATGTATACTCTTTAGTCTTGCATACAAGTGCTACTAAAATGTAGAGTCTTGCCACAATGTTTTGCAAGGAGTATACTAGACCAGCCAAAATTAATTTTTACATGCTTTTCATACAATATTTCAGTCCAGAGAATTATGACTGGCTTCATACTACTACTGGACATAGTATAACTGCTTGTACTTCGAAAAACTTTATACTGATGTGGTCATTTCTGGTTGGGTGGATGACAACCAATCAGTTTGAACTATCAACAAATGACTTTACTCTGGTGTATTTCATTTTTACATTATAAAGGAGTGGCATTCTCATAGTATTTGTCTTTTATATATATACTTTTTGGTAACTGTTTCCACTGTTATTTCTAATACTATATTTCCATTTGTGCTGAAGTAATAGTGTCTACAGCTCTTGTATCTGTAAACAAATCACAATAAAAAAAATATTCAGTAAAACCATCATATTTTTTGTTATTATTTCTTAGAAAGTTTCATCTTATGTCTAATATACATATGTAAGCAAATATATATAATGTATTTGGTCTTGTCTATTGTATTAGTTGAGTAATAGCTAAAACTTCACATAAATAATCACTTGTGTACCATATATAACTTGCTGTATATACAGTTATTTTATTCTAGGCCAAGGTAACTAAGTAAAAATACTTTCAGTAGTTATAACACTAATGTACTTACTTGTGCTCACAATAACAAACTTATGCATAATATAACCTCATTTGCAGTATTGAGATCCAAAGAGACCCCAGTATTGCTGCATTATGAATTTCTTGTAGCTATCAATGATCATGTTTTGTACTGAAAAAGATAGAGGTGCTAAGTGTATGTTGCAGCATGAGGAATTATAGAGAAAAGGAGTGATTCACTTACCCATTATCTTGCACACAATGTTAGGCCTAATTCAATACTTGGTCTTTCATTTCCATATGACAAGATTTTTTGATGTTACTGTAAATGTTGTTGTTTTCTAACTGTTGAAACAAACATACTATAAAATAAATGAAACATTGACTGATTATTTACAAAATAGCATGTGCAATGAAATATCATGTTTGCATTTTCTTGTTATGTGTACAAAATTTATCAGAAAAGCCTTATATGATATACTTTTTTTAAATGAGAAAACAAGTGAAACACATTTAAAGATACGTTGTCAATTGAACTTTGTATGCATTTGTAAACCTTGTGCAAGTTAGCAAAAAATATTTTAAAGATTATACTGTGTAAAACAACTTCCAGCAGAAACATTTAGAACCATACAAAACTTTTTGTTCTTTGCCAAACAAAGGTTTCAAATCTTTCTCATGATGAGCGCAGCAATAAATAATATTGAAACTATGAATGATAAACTAGTGTAAACATGTAATATTAAAAATCTCTGAAAGTAAAATTTAAATTTACTAGAAAATTATCATTGTTGTACTTATATATTAAAATGAAGTATTTAAAAATTAAAAATATTGTGTTTAATCTTTTGTTTCTAACCTCTAACAAATTGTACTCTCAGGGCCGAGAAATGGACACAAGGACTACAGTGTACAAGAAGACAGATGAAATTTATCAATTAAAAATGAAAGCATCTAGAGGTCAGTCCACATCTTTATAAAATATAAGTAAAAAAATACTATAATAGTAATATGCATCTGATCAGTAAACAGGGATTGCCAGAAACTGTGTATTGCTCACTCCTGTTTTCAGTGAAGCAGTAAGTTAATGAAATCTGATTCCTTATCCATCATACTAGTTTGTGAGGATTAACATTAATATTTTAATGTGATTCACTACAATAGTCAACATGAATAAATTAATAATTATAAAACTTCAGTAAACATATAAGTATCTCTCTTATTGTTTCATCAAAACTTCATAAATTCTTGTTTCTTCTAAAGTGTCAGCAAAAGATTTTATCAAGACACTGAGAAAGTTAGCAAAATATTTCCTTTTTTTTTGTCTGCTTTATGTATTGACACTTCTTTTCTTAGTATGGGATGTACACTATTTTAGTGACACATGTTTACACCATGAACAACAGTACTGATTTTATAGCTTTGATACACAATATTTTACTGAGACACAGTTACACCACAATGAAGAACATAACAGTTTTACAATATAGATATAGTAATTAGATAAATATTTAAGTCAGTGTTCAGATGCTGTATACATTTAATACAAGAGGTACCAAAATATATCTACCTAAATCAGTCCAAAGATGATTCAGTAAAATTGAAAGTGTGGGATTTAACTTGTTCCTTGGTAAAGGTTATGAATATTTTTTGTTGCATGTTCTGACCTCCTTGAGACTCGTATAACCTACATTTTAATGTATTTAATATTTGTTTACTCAAATTACTTTATCAAATGTTTTAGCAAAAAAAAAAACTAATGACATATTTTTTCCAGAGTAAACCACAAGATATTCATTCTTATGTCAGGAAACCATTAGAAGCAGGATCTGTATAATATAATACACCTCTGAGACTTCATGTGTCTATCTATCTATATATATATATATATATACACAAACACATAATCTTACCTTTTTTAGCTTCTAATTTTATATGTAATATGTGGGTGTCAATTAATTTTTTAAAATTTGCCATTAGGCACAAGCAATAGTTTTTTCATTAAGACACCTTTACATCTTGTTAGACTGATTGAGACTGAAGTTTGGAATAGAAACACAAGAACAATCTCATTAACTTGTTATTAGCAATCTAAATACAGTTTTAAAATAAAAATTATGAAGAAACCACTGTAGGCTTACAATAGTTGGCTGAAATTAGAATAATTTATACAGATAAAAAATGCTAGGTTCTCCTAACATGATTTCTGTAGCCATATTTTCTTCAAGAGAAGAGCCATTTTATTTTGTTAGTACACTATTTTGGAAGGGAAACAAATGTTTTAAATTATAGTAAAAGCAATAGTTATTTAGCAGTTCTTGGAAACTCAACAAACTCTATGCAGAAAAATGAATTTAATATGATAATAACCCCAGAATGTTTGTACTGAAGATACTATTCTTGAGCAAGTTTTGTTGTAATGTACATTACCTTATTTGCTATCAGTTACGTATATGCATACGTAAAATTCTACAAAAATGTAAACTTCCAGTGATTTAGAAATTTCTTTAGGTGAACAGGAACGTATTATGTTGGTTTTGTTCTTGCAGCATTCTTCAGTGAAGTAGAAAAGAAGTTTGGAAACATGCCTTTCACTTTGAGGTATTTGTCAGGATTTTTTATTTATGTATCTTTGATTTTAAATAGCTTTCATAAAACATTAGAAGGCAGTAGATTTGGAAGTTCATACAGATTGTTTAGTTATTCTACTGTACTGAAGAAACTTGAAAATTGTTATTGCAGATGACAGTGGTTAAATGATGATATTGTTGTTAAGAGAACATGTTTTAGCCTTATATATGCAGCTATCACATACAAAGAATAATTTATCAAATTATATTTTATTTTCATATGTTAATTGTTTTAAATATGAGATATTTTTGTGGGGATGTGCTTGTATATTTGTTATGCCCGGTAGTCTGTGCAAGGTAACTGTCAAAACCTTTTTTAATTTTGTAATTAGTCTTATGTTAATAATTTAGCTTTTAAAATCAAAATCTGTAGATTGTTTTACACCAGGAATGTTAGATGGAAATGGTTGTTGTTGTTTTTTTCTATCTACTTCTCCTAAGAAAATGATGTAATTTTGGTATGAAAAATAATTAGTAAAATAAGTGTTTTCAGTTTTTAAAATGTGTAGAACCTAAAAGGCTTATTTCTTATCTGAGTATTTAGGATGTCAGAAATGTTAATTTATAGAAATTATATTTTCAGTGACAAAAAAAAAAAGCCCAGCACACTGCAATTGGTTGATGATATTTTTTGAAACATTTATAAACGGCTATCTCATAAGGTGACATGAATCTTGAAATTTTTTATTGTTTTTCAATAATTCTGCTAGCAATTTTATTGAAAAGGTATAATATTAAACTTTATGTTTACCACATGAAGATATTAAATAGGTGTATTTCTCATTTGGATATTTTGGTAAAACCTTGGATTCTTGTTGGTATAGGGCCTTAACTATTTCAGCACGGGCTCAGTTCCATGGACTGACTTCATAACCATTTTGTGCTTGTTATAGTTTTCATACTATAACTTTTAAATTAGTAAGTGTATCTAAATGAAAATTTGCAGATTATCAATAAACATCACAAGGCTTTCGTATGCAAAATATCATTTTTTTTAAATTAAGTTTTGAATTCTTAAGTAATATTTTTCTCTTTTGGAATGTTGACTATCCAACATGCAAAGGTAATTTTGATTTGATGATTAAAAATACTTTTATACATCAGAAAATTTTCAGATTTCACATGCAAAATTTTTATAACCTCCACATAATTATCAAACGTTTTTTAAGAAAAAACTTTATATTTTATCTGTTATTTTCATTGGTATTTTTAGTTTTATTCTATTGAGTGAATTAATTGGTTTTAACGTAGCAAAACAACAATTTTTGTTCGAATAAAAGTTTAGC